AGCGGAGATTAGTATGCGCCGCATTCTATTGATGAATGCATGAAGCTTGTACGAAAGACAGTCGGCCGTGTGTTCACTAGTCGTTACTCATTACTTTTTTTCCTCTTTTTTTTCTTTTTTTTTTTTTTTTTTTTTTTTTTTTTTTTTTTTTTTTTTCCCCCCCCCCCCCCCCTCCTTTCTTCTTCATCTGCTTCGTCTTCTTTTCTTGGGTGGTGTAGCAAAGCCGATGTGGGGATAAGCATTGCGTTTTTGGTACTTCTTGTTGTTCTGCTTCAATTCAATTCTTCTTCTGATTCCTGAGACTACCGTCTTCCCTTGATAATGCATGTATACAAGCTATCTTTCCGGTCCAGTACAACCATAATGAGGGTGCGTTGTGTTCGGGGGAAGATGGGTAGTATTCGCAGCTGCTGTGTATTCAAGAATTTCCGATGCGTGTACGAAATGCAGCTTACCCCCATTTTCACTAGTTTCTATACTTTTTCTTCTCTGCTAAGAAGGACGATGATGATGAGGATGATCTTCTTCTTCTTCTTCTTCTTCTCGCTTCTTACTTCTTTTTCTTCTTCTGATGCTGATGGTCTTTCTTCTCCTTCTTTTTCTTCTTCTGATGCTGATGGTCTTTCTCCTTTTTTTTATCTTCTTCTGATGATGGTCTTTTTCTTCTAATGCATCGAGGATGACGGGGATGAGAATGATTAGGATAAGAATGACGATGCTATGATGATGATGATGATGATGATGATGCTGTTGATGTACTTGGTAAAACATTTGAGAAGGCTGTGTGATTGACATGTACTATCAGTGGAAAATGTGTCGTTCGATCTCTTGTTCGCAAGATCAATTCCAAAGATGCCGCACTGCTAAGATCCTGTCGCACAGCTCTCAAGTCAAACGCGATCAGTTTCAAAGATGAACCCCAAATTTCAATTCCCAAGATGCTGCACCGCAAAAGGAGATCGATTCCAAAGATGAAGTCCGATGTTGAAGTCCTAAGATCGAGCTAAAAAAGAGATCGATTCCGAAGATGGAAGTCCCCAAAGATCGAGCGAGTCCAATGATGCGGCGGCACTGCGTGGAACGGCTTGCCAGTTCCGTTCGTCTTTGCCCACCAGGGCAATCAATGTGCGCGATGTGCGCGCGTACTTGTGTGTATGCTCATGAAGACCATGCAATGACAATTTCATATGTGCGTGAGCGCGTAGCGTTGGCCTTGCTGCTATGTACTATATTCTTCCTCGTTCCTTCTACCTGCCATCACCTCTCGATGCGCTACCGTCTTCACCCAAATAACCCCCCCGATCATTATAGCTGTATTTGGGGCAACTTTCAGTCCATATGCAGCGATAATGCCACCGGGCGTCCTATTCGGGTGAAGACGGTAGTCGGCGAATTCGCCCGCGTCGTTGCTGAGACATGCCTGCAATTTCTAATCGCGGATTTGCATTTTTGCTGATCTGTGCTCTGCTGATTTTGATTTTGGCAATGCCATGCATGTGGTGGCGGTTGGAACGCCTGGTATCACCACTCTTCTGCTGACGCCGGTGCTGCTTCTAATGATGCTGAGGAGGATGCGGATGGTGATCAGGATGGGAGTGATGTTGATGATGATGATGATGATGATGATGATGATGATGACGAAATCTTCTTCTGCTGCTCTTGCTGCTTCTGCTGATGATGAGTAAGATGAGGGTAATGTTGAGGATAAGTATGACGTTGATGATGATGATGCTGATGATGATGATTAGGAGAAGGAGAAGGAGGAGAATGATGTTGCCGTTTTGATGAGAGGAGATGATGATGATGATGATGATGATGATGATAAGGAGGAGGAGGAGAATGATGTTGCCCCTTTGATGACAGGAGATGATGATGATGATGATGATGATGACGAGGAGGAGGAGAGTGATGTTGCCGCTTTGATGGGAGGAATTGAGAGGCGCTATATGATTTAGAAATTGCTATCGATCGAAGGGGAGTCGTGCAATTGCTTGTTCGCTTAGTTGGATTTCGAGGATGATGCAAAAAAAATCAGTCGGTCATAAAAGTGAAGCGATTATTCTTCTTCGTATCCGTTCAATTGCTGTTTGGTTGATTTGTCAAGCGGAAGCTCGCGAGTTCGATTCCCGAGATCGGTTCCCGAGTTCCATTTCGTGGATTGGAAGTCTTGTTGTGTGTCCAGATCCCCCAGATCCCCCAGATCCCTTCCAACCTCATGGACGTGACGAGATTATTCGCCATATCCCCTGGTGGCTGTTTGGATGCGGAAGGTCGGGACCCGGGAGTTTGATTTGTCGACTTGCATTTCCTGGACTTGAAGTCTTGTTCTGTGTCCAGATCCCCCAGTGTGTGTGTTTCCGTCCGGATCCCATCAACAACAGCCTCTCACTGTAGTTCGGTTTCCCTTGCTGGAATTTGTATCCTCTTCTCTTCCTCATCCCTCATCCCGATACTCCTCTGGCTGTCTCGTGCGTGTGTGTGTGTGTGTGTGTGTGTGAGAGAGAGAGAGAGAGAGAGAGAGAGAGAGAGAGAGAGAGAGAGAGAGAGAGAGTGCCACCGAACACAACGGAGCTTCTCTTGTGAGGGTCGTGACTCTAGTTACGTCAAAGAGAGCTTGTAAACATTTCATAACGAGGGTGGATTATGTTCGTGCAAGCGGGCAGTATGGGTCTGCTCGATGTGTTTATTCACGGTAGGGGGGGAATCAGATACGAGTCTCGGTCAAAAAACGGAAGGAAAAAAAAAAAAAAGCAAGAAAAAGAAAAAGAAAAAGCAAAAAAGGGAAAGAAAGAAAAAGAAGAAAGGAGGAAAAGAGAGATGTGAGTCGCGGTGCATGGGACGTATTGTCCCAAGTTGCAATTTGCAATTCCCAATCCCGATCTGTAATTGCCAATTATTGGTATGATCCTGGATGGATCTGGTCTTGATCTCTGCTTCTATTCACAAGGAATTGCGAGGAATGACCTTATATGGGAAAGGATGGGGCAGTGAACATACTGTCTCCAGGTGCATGCTTGCACTCAGCTAACTTGACCGTGAAGTATTTTGGCCGTAAAGTAGACCCGATACATGCAGGATCAGCCTAAATACATTACTCGACTGTATTTTGGCTGTAATGTAGACCGGATACGTCCAGGATCCGCCGAAGTAAATTAGCGAATATGGTCTCTTGTGTAGATTGTCCGAATTTCAAGCGGCCACTTAAGTCCCGGTTGTTTTTTTTTTTTGTTTTCAGCCCCGTTTTGATTCCCCTGTTTTTTTTCTTTTCTTTTTTTTTTTTTTTTTTTTTTTACAAAACAGGTAATTGTTATTAGCAGAACTAAGAGGAGGCCGGGAATCCTCCACAAACAACCCGGAATTCGTAACCAAAAGAATGGGACCTTTACCCATCATAGGTGTGGGTGTTGGAATAACTCCAGCTGCAGAAATGGCCAACTTCAGACCGCTGCACTGAGATTTCCAACCCCTAAAAAAAATGAAAAAGAAATAAAGCCATCCCTCAGGGCAACGAATCCTAACAAACCGACCGTTTTAATTCTGATGCTAACCACTATTTGTTATTATGATTTTTATAATGAATTAGTTATTTATTTATATTTTGTACCACTAGATAGTTATGGAATTATGCAGCGACCTATCTCAGTTGGTAAGGCACGCAAGTGGCATTCAGGAGGCCTTGGGTTCAGTCCCCATTGGCCTCATGTACCTTCCTGGGCACGCTTGGCGCCCACCACATCAATTCTCCCATCTCCTCCACTGGGAGGGTTGATCATCGGGTGGGAGGGCGTGAAGAAAATATAGGTCCATCTCCTCGATGTCATTCCGTCGGATGGATTGGCGAATGCTCGCCGCAGAGACCACGTGACAACTAATCGAAGGATGAGGATGCGGCACCGTACACGGGACTAGTTCGCCACGCCGATCACGAACGTGAACGGTGCGTCGATAAAAATTCACCGGACGGTCTTCGCTTTGCAGCCACAACATGCCTAAGATCATATTGAACTTAGTGTCCAATATGTCGAAT